TCCAATCATGCTTTGGTACATCCTATTGTCTACCTTTTTACCATGTTCATCTTTGGACAGTTTAAGGGTAGCACTCATAGGGGTTCTAGCATGCTTTGCATTTTCTAAGCAAAATCTTTTCAACATATTTCTAGCATACTTTGATTGGGAAACAAACATGCCATTATTCATTTGTTTAATTTGAAGTCTAAGAAACATATTCAATTCCCCAACCATACTCATCTCAAACTCATTTTTCATCAGGCTAATGAATTCAAGTGCATGTGAATAAGATGTAGAACCAAACACAATATCGTTAACGTAAGTTTGTGCACACATGATTTTATTGTTAGCATGCTTGATAAAGAGGGTTTTGTTGGCATTACCTCGTTCATAGTTATGCTCAAGAAGGAAAGATGTCAACCTTTCATACTAGGCCCGTGGGGCTTGTTTCAAACCATAAAGAGCTTTCTTCAATCTAAATACATGATCGGGTTTGTGGGGTCTTGAAAGCCAATTGGTTATTCAACATACACTTCTTCGGTGAGCATTCCATTCAAAAAGGCACTTTTGACATCCATTTGGAACAATTTGATCTTGAGGTAGCAGGCAATAGGAAGCAGCAACCGGATTGATTCAAGTCGAGCAACAGGTGCAAATGTTTCATCAAAGTCGATTCCCTTAACTTGCATATATCCTTGAGCTACAAGCCTATCTTTGTTCCTAACAACATTACCAAACTCATCAGTTTTACTTTTGAAAACCCATTTGGTACCTATTATGTTGATTCCCTCTCATCTTGGTACAAGTGTCCAAACATCATTTCTTTCGAATTGTTCCAGTTCTTCTTACATCACCTCAATCCAATTTTCATCTTTCAAAGCTTGTTTGGCATTCTTCGGTTCTGCAAGAGACACATAACAAAGATGGTTAATTTCATTTTATCTTCTCCTTCTTATAATCATTACCTCATTTGGATCTCCAATCACGGTTGAAGGTGGATGAGCTTTTTGAACCCATGTTGGTGGATCTTTTCTTTTTTGATTTCTCCTTTGAATGCTTTCATCAGAAATATTAACAACTTTCATCTTGCAATGATGAATCAGTAGATGATTCTTTACATGGAGCAGATCATGTTACTGTAGCACCAGAAGTAGGTGACAACACATTTGACTAAGGTTTAGGTTCAGGAGATTCAGTAGTGTTCACACCATCTTATGTGGGCACACAAGGAACAAATATGTCTTGAATTTCACATTCTTGAGAGTATTCTGAAAAATCTTCTGCATCACTAAACACAACATTAATGGATTCTAAGACTTTTTCAGAAGGTATGTTATATCCTAGATACATGGCTATTGGAAGAATATCTAATAAAAATCACTTCATCATTCCTAGAATCAAACTTACTTAAATTCTCTCTATCATTCAAGATATAACATTTGCATCCAAACACATGAAAGTAAGAGAGATCTAGTTTCTTACCTTTCTACAGCTCATAGGGAGTTTGAATAGTACATTTTCTGAGGTAAAGTCTGTTGGAAATATGACATGCCGTGTTAGTGGCTTTTGCCGAAAGTCTTGTAAGAAGCTTTTTGGCATTAAGCATCACCCTAGCCATCTCTTGAAGCACTCTGTTTTTTCTTTCCACAACACCATTTTGTTGAGGTGTTTTTGGTGCTAAAAATTCATGAAATATGCCCTGCAATTGACAAAAATTAGCAAATCAGCATTATCAAATTCCTTTCCATGGTCACTCCTTATTCTCACTATCTTTGTAGCTTTAGAACTCTTCTCAACAAGCAACCTTTTGGCCAACTTCTAAAATGCATTGAAAGAATCATATTTCTCACGCAAAAAATCAACCCTAGCATATCTTGAAAAATCATCAACATAAACAATCACATACCTGTTACCTCCCAAACTCTCAGTTTGCATAGGACCTATTAGATCTATATGAGGTAGTTCCAAAACACATGAGGTATTGAGATTAGATAAAGCTTTATGAGATATCTTGGTTTGCTTACCTTGATGACATGGACCACACACATTACCTTTTGGAATTTCAAGTTTTGGGAGTCCTTTAACACTTTTTTTTTTTTAAAGTCTCATCGAGTTCTTGAAGTTCATGTGACCAAGTTTCTCATGCCACAAATTAGTGGAATTTGTTTTTGAATTGAAACACGACACACGGTTAGAAAGCGAGTAACAATTGTCGTTTGACCTTTTCCCCGCAAGTAGAGAAACACCTTTACCATTCAAGATTACACTTGTTCTTTGAGAATTGAACCACAAAATATTTATCACAAATTTGACTAAAACTAATTAAATTAGCTTTCAAGCCATCAACAAGTAAGACATCTTTCAAAATAGGAAAATCAGGAAGCACAATTGACCCTTTGCTAAGAATTTTACCTTTCTTTCCATCACCATAAGTGACAAGTCCACTATCAACTAATTCAAATTCAGTCAAGAGAGATTTATTAACTGTCATATGCCTTGAACAACCACTGTCTAGATACCAAAGATCATTTTGAAATGCAAGCAAGGAAGTATGAGACACAAAACAGTTCACATCAACCTTAGGTCCCCATACTCTTTTGGAAGAAAAACGATTGTTAGCATTATGATTTACATTAGCAACAAAACTATGGTTTTTAAAAACTTTCTTTAAATAAGCAATGAACTTGAAGCATTTGGGTTTGATGTGACCCTTTTTGTTACAAAAATGACAAATAGGAATGAATTTTGATACCTTCGTAACCTGTCTCATAACAGTTCCTTCAGTAGAAGTTTCGGTGGCTTTCACAAACATGCTCGCACCAGCTTTTGATGTGCTAGCACCAGGACTAAATCACAAACCATACCGATCTCCAAAGGATTTTCCTTGACCAAGGACTTCATCAAGCTTAAGAGAACTTGCATTCAACTTATCAATGATGACCTTAGCCTCAGTTAGTTCAGAAGTAAGAACAACAATCTTTTCGAACAAGGCTTTCTTTTGTTTCAACAAGGTAGCATTCTCAATACCAAGAGATTGCAACTTTTTCACAGCCTTTAGCCATTGGTCATACATTTTATCATATGCCTCTTGTTGTTCAGCATAGATATCAATAGTGTCATCCAAAACCTCACTCTTACCATCTTCTTGATTTATGGTGAAGGCTAAAACATTCTCATCATCACCTGAATCATCATCACTCTCGTCATGGTCACTCTCACTCTCACTCAAAGTAGTAGCCATGGCTTTACCTTTCTTCTTTTTTCAGTGTGTTAGCACACTCAGATTGTATGTGCCTAAAACCCTCACATTCAAAACACTTGATACCTTTATTTTTCTTTTCTTTATCTTTTGAAAATTTCTTTGTAAAATTACTAGGGGTTTGATAGTCATAAGGCTTTTTTACAAAAGGTTTTCGGCCATAACCACTATTATGAGGCTTTTCCATGTTTTTCTTTAAAAACTTTGCAAAATTCTTTGTAATTAAAGCACAATTTTCATCATCCAATGAACTTAGATCACAATCATCAAAAGGATCAGAATCAACCTCATGTTTGAGAGTCAAACCTTTGCTCAGTTTTTGTTTTTCTCAACGTTGTAAATTCAGCTCATAGGTTTGGAGAGAGCCAATGAGTTCATCAATGTCCATAGCATCTACATCTCGGCATTCTTCAATGGTGGTGACCTTTGACATAAACCTCCAGGGTAAAGAGCAAAGCACTTTCCTAACAAGTTCAGCATTAGAATAGGTTCTTCCCAAAGCAAAACATTCATTAGAGATATCACAAACTCTACCATAAAAATCAGTTATAATCTCATCCTTTTCCATGTTCAAATTTTCAAAATCAGTAAAACGTTTTCTAAGCCTATTTCTTTTAACAGTACTAGTTCCCTCATTCTTAACTTTAAGTCTATCCCAAGCATCTTTAACCAGCTCATAATTAGCTATGACTTTCATTTGGTTCACATTAATAGCATTAAAAACAGTATGAAGGGCTTTAGAGTTATAATTTGCCAAAGTTATTTCATCAGCGGTCCAACTAGCAATAGGTTTTGGTCTAGACACTTCATTTTCAGCAATAACTGGGGTTATCCAACCATTCACAACTATGGACCAAACTCTTTCATCTATAGACTAAAGAGAAGCACGCATCCTAAGTCTCCATGTATAATAGTTAGGTCCTTCTAATAAAGGAAGTCTATGAGAAAATCCACCTTCAATGAAGAAACTCATGACGAAAAATAATCAAACAGATGCTAACACAGCAAATGGCAGTGCACACATAAAGACACAACGTAGATCAGATTTCGTCCAAACACAAGACCACTCAGATGCACACAAAAACAAGCAAAAATGGGTATGGATCTACTGAAGTAACTTATCAGAACTCACTCTGATACCACTTGTTGGAGTTGTTCCACTTGGAGGAGGACCTAGAATATGCCCCAGAAAAGAATATGCACGTTTGAAGATACTTGTATTCATGCATAACGTGGTGAAAAGGTTTAACTAGGAGCAACTAATTTCTAATGAGAAAATCATTGTGGATCCAGTGCCCATGCCAGCTAAAGGCCTTCCCATTTGCCTTATTCCACGTAAACACGTTGATTAATTACAATATGACATACAGAGCTTGTTGAAAAAGATTCCCAGAACTCAAACGAAAAATTAAAGCAAGCAACTAAAAATAAAGCAAACCAAACACAAGAATTTTAAAGTGGTTTGGCTCAATCAATTTAGCCTACGTCCACTATCCACTCCAACAATCCACTAAGCGAAAGCTTACTATGCAATTTTTAGAAGAGAAAAATTGCAAACTCCTTACACTATCCCAAAAAGCCCAATTACACCCTTAATAACAGCCCACAATGACTATTCTTTTGGTGTCTATTTTACACTTTTTGAGATACTTTAAAAGCCCAATCTACTAGTCTATTTAAAAGGGAGAATCCCCTTGCAAATCCCTTTCTCAAGCAATATGGGATTCAAGGCATAATCCCAACAATTCCTCTCTTGACTTCAATCCCCAAACATCACAGTAGCATCTGAAAATCTTACTCGCTTGATAGTCTTCTTTTCTTTCACAACAGGAACTTGAACAACTTTATCTCTTGATTTCTTAAGACACACACCTTCATCAAACAAATATAGTTGTTTTTCATTCCTTTTGCCTTGCAAAATCATAACAACGTCTTTATACGCTGCTCATCCATCTCTTTGATCATTGTAGGTATATTCACGAGAAGCCAACTCACCCAAAGAAATCAAATTGTGACTACAACTCAGTACATACCTTATATGATGAAGCTAGCTTCTTGACAACACCATTGTGAAGCTTGAGACGAACGCTACCAACACCTTCAATCTTCACTTTCTCGTTATTACCAACAACAATATTTCCATAATTTTCATCTTTTTTCAATTCAACAAAACAATCTTCATCATTACAAACATGCATAGATGCAGCAGAATCTAAAATCCAACCTTTTTCACCCTTTGAAATTTGAGTTTCATCTTGACATGTTACTAAAAATTCACCTTCATTATCAGCAACCTGTAACGCCCCACTTGAGGTACGTACTTAAGATTTGCTGTATTGCTTAAATGTTTATTGATTCAGCTTTAATTGAGTTTGTATGTTGAATTGGTTGAGTGTTTGCCTTGAAATGGTTGAGATTTGAGGAATTTTAGAATTTCAGTCTTCGTCGGGGCGAAGAATAGCCTTCCCCGCGGCGACGTTGGCTTTGAGTAAGGCAGTGTCGACTCTATAATTTTTTGCCGGGGCGACGAAGGTTTCTTCGTTGCGGGAAAGGGCCAGTTGAAAAGTTTAATGAAGTTTCTAGATATTTCTCCATAAGGGTAAAATGACAATTCTACCCCTAATTAGCAGGAAAAGTGGGGAGTAAAATGTAAGGAAATTAAGTAGAGAATGTGTTGGTAATAAGGGTGTATTTGCAAAGAATCAAAGGATATGGATGGAATTTCCAAGGAAGGACAAGGGCAAAATGGGAAGTGATGGTTATAATATGAGCTAAAAAGGGTTAAGTGAAATAAACCCTTCATTTCATCCCTTTTCCACCGCCATACCCATTCTCTAATTCTCTCAACTTTCCTTTCAATTTTCCCAAGATTTCTAAGGGGTTTAAGAGAGCTTTTGAGTAATTTTGAGTAGAGATTTCATCTAAAGCATCCTAAGGTAAGGATTCTTGCTTTAGATGTGAGTTTGCTTATAGTTATATGAAGTCTTATTTGGTGGTTGTTGTTGTTGTTGTTGTTGTTGTTGTTGTTGTGTTGAGTTGTAGAGAGAAGACAAGACAACAAGGGAAAGGAAAAGTTGTTAGAGTAGATGCCCTAGAGCCAATCAATTATTGTAGAATTGACTCTTTGTAATAATGTTCATTAATCAATAAAAGGCATTTTATTCTATATCGCATAAATCATTATTATTGCAATATGTATTGATATATGTCCTTAGAATGGTAGAACCGTGACGAGGGTATCAAGTGTTTCAAATCTTGATAGTGAGAACCCTATGAGCACATATGGTGGCCATTCTAGAAACGTCCGTAGCCCTAGTATTATTCTGAAGTAAGGGCACAGATAATACGGTAAGGCTATCATAGTGTTGAACGACCCTGTCGAAAGGCAGTGACTGATCTCACTTGTCAAGGTTGTTTGGTGACAACCTGGTGCAACACATGGGTGCTTGTTGTAGGCGATTACACCACAGCAAGTTCACTGGACTGACCCACCAGAGGATTCCATATGGATGGTAACCCCAGTGTCTATGGAACAAATCCTCTAACGAATGGTGGTGCATGTGATCCTTAGACTTGAGATCACCGGAGCGCCTTGTGCACCGATTGGTGTAGTTTGACACTAGCCTAACGCAGTTCTTTTCAGAGCTGTCAATACGGTGGTGATTGGCTGCATCAAGGAGTGTATCAAGACTATGGTGGATTGACAGAGGATTTATCACTCCCGGGTACGGGAGAAAGTTATCTCACGGCGCAATTCAGTATATGGCAATGACACTAAAACTGTGGCCACAGTGGGATTGAGTTGTTGCTCTATCCAGTTTATAATACGGGTCATTGGTCCAGAAACTGAATAAATAATATCGAGAGTAACCGAAGGTTGACACTATTTCTATGCCTTCGTCTCGTCGAGATAACGTATGATGAAAGGATCGAATTGCACGGTAACCATATCGTTGACAGGTAGCTACTTTGCTGAATCCGAATCTATCGGGTGGCCATGATGCCTTGCTAGGGGCCAATCTTGGTCTGTGTATTAGTGAGACGATTAATTGGTGTTAATCGCAATACTATACACTGCCGATATGATGAGGAGCCTAAGGGTCACACACATAGAAGACAATTTAAGATGCAAGAAGAAAGAAGGGCGTTTTCGTCTTTTAAGGCGAAAGGGTATTTTGGTAATTTCACAGTGCAATTAAATTTGCTGAGGTCGTAGCCTTTATTTAATTTGTTAGAAAAATTAAATAAGTGAAATTACGTTTAAATGTGTGTTCGCACATATTTAAATATATTATCATTATTGTTAAATGTTAATATATATTTAAATATATATTAATTGATTTTAATTGAGATAATGATGGAAAATAAAATAAATCAAATTGGGAGTGTTTGGCAACATGGGGCGTTTGGGTTGGAGCCCAAGCCTATTCCGTATGGGATTAGGGCAAATTGTTTTTACTATAAAAAGAAAAGTGTGTGATTTTTCATTTAGAGATTTTTCTTTGGAAAAGCACAGCGGCCCCTTTGAAAACACACCCATGGCTGAAACACTTTTGCTTAGAAATCAAATCAATTTGATTTGCTTTCTTCTTAATCTTGAAGCCAAAGAGGATCTAGCAAATCCCTCTTTGGTTCTTTTGAGATTGTCTTCGTGTGGACTACGTGGGTTTGATCCTACACTTGGATCGGTAGCAAAACATTCGTCGACAAATTTGGAGGAGCCTCCAACGTGCGTTTGTTTTCTCTTAACTCATGATTAATATTTCTGCAGATTCTTATTATGATAAAATTGCAAAATTATACCCTTGATCTTGGCTCATGTAAACGATCCTGTTATATTATTTTTGTTGTTTCCGCTGCATATACGAGACCGTTTACTTACAAAAGTGCTAGAGAAGTCACTTTGTCACAAGGTAAGTAAATCCAACCCAATTGAGACTTGAATAAGCTTTTGAGTAGAGATTGAGTAGAGATGTATGCATGTATAAGTATGTATTATGCTTGTTGAGAAATTGAGTTGAGATGAGTAGCTATTTTATGGTTGTTGGATACACTTCATGTATGAGAAGTGTTTTAATGTGTATTGAGAAGTGGAAATTGAGTTGAAGTTTGGGAGATGTTGTGTAAACCTATTTGGAAGTGTTTTTCTTGACAGGGATTATGGTTATATGAGGGAGTTTTCTCCCATTTTGGATGGCTAGAGAATGAAGTAGAGTAGTAATTATAGTAGAGATTTTGTATGCACATGAATTGTTTGATGAAATGCCTAAGAGAAATATGAGCATGAATTGTGAACCTTAATTCTTGTAACATTGCATATTGGCATTTCTTAATTGCATTAATGAGCATAAACCACCCATGTGCATTAATTGTGTATTGGGTAATAGCTTGAGAGAGAGTAGAGACTTTTGAGTATAAGCTACACTATGAGTAGTAGGTTGAGAAAGAGTAGAGAATGTTGAGAATAAGCATCTCTATTAGTAAAGAGAAAGAGAGATTGAGCACTAGAGAATAAAAGAGAGAAAAGTGCTAAAGAAAGGAATAGAGTAGGTTGTGCGATGGGGAACCTGTGAGTGATGGGTAGAGTATTCCCGCATGTACGCCGCATTGAGAGAGCGGCATGAGTATGAGAGAGAGAAGTGGTGTAGCCCATGAGAGTGCATGCGGATGAGGGCTATACCCGAGAGTACCCGAGAGATAGATTATATACTCACTTGGCCAAGGGTTCCGAATCCATGCATAACCGAGTCCGATCGGCTAGAACGAGTAGAAGTCACGGAGAGCGGGAGCGAGTCCCGGCCGTGCCTCCGATAAGATGAGGCCGTAACTTACAAAAGAGAGTTAGTAGCAAAGAGTTATGAGAAAGAGAGAATAGAGAGAAGTATAAAAGAGAGAGTAAATGAGAATTGTAAGGAAAGAATTAGAGAGAGAGTTACAGGGATCGATGAGTAGAGAATTTACTTACTGAGCCTTAGTTGTGCTCACCCCGTTGTTTTCTATGGTTTCTGCAGGACCTAGGTGAGGACACAGTCGGATGGGCGTCAGCAAGCGAAGAGAAATGGCTACACTGTCCACCCTGTTTTTGATGCTTTTTGTATATGATACATCTTTTTGTATAAAGAATGTATATGTTTAATAAAAGAAAATTTTGGGCCCAACTTTTATGCTTTCTTACATGTATTTTTACTATGTATATTTTAAAAGAATGTGAGTAGAATGGAGTCGTTACACAACCCAAGTGTCATCCTTCGAATCCTTCATCTGTTGAGCCTTCTTGAAAGTAAGCATATCCTCTCTTAATTTCTTGCATCATGGTTGGATATGTCCCTTTTTTTCACAATAATAACACTCCTTATTAATGTAATCTCTGACTTTTGATTTATCACCTCTCTCTTGAGTCCTCCCTAAATTAGAACCTTCTGCAACTAGTAGATCTCCTCTAAGTGATGAGTTCTCTGATCCCATAAACCTTTCATTCTCACACAACAAGGCAATCACATCATCTAATTTTAAAGTAGATCTGCCTACCAACAAAGTTTGAAGTAAAGGTCTATAATATTAAGGCAAAGATGAAAACAGTATCAATGCCTTTTCTTCATCCTTTAACTCATTAGAAATAACCAACAATTGAGATACTAGCCTATTAAATTCATTTAAATGATCATGGTGACTCGTACCTTCATCCATCTTTAAAGAATACAAATCCATCTTCAAACACAGTCTATTAGTCAACGATTTTGACGCATAAATACCCTCCAATTTTTCCCACAAACCCTTTGGTGTAGACTCAATCAACATGATGTACTTTGTCTCTGGAGCTAAGGCCAATCTTATTGTACTAACAGCTCTCCTCTGAATTCTATTCCATTCTTTATCAGACATCTTCTCTGGCTTACTCTCTTCTAATGCCTGATCAAGACCTTGCTGTACCAAAAGGTCTTGTATTGTACTTCGCCATAACATAAAATTAATTTTACCATCAAATAAAGGAACCTCAAACTTAGACATACCTCTAGAAAATTTGAGATGCTTAATAGTCGTTGATCTACTCTTAAATCCAACCTCCTCTAGAGCTTGCCTTCTCCTTGCTTGTCTTCTCCCAGATCATGAACCGTGGGCTCTGATACCACTTGTTGAAAAAGATTCTCACAACTCAAACGCAAAATTAAAGCAAGCAACTAAAAATAAAGCAAACCAAACACAAGAATTTTAAAGTGGTTCGGCCCAATCAATTTAGCCTATGTCCACTATCCACTCAAACAATCCACTAAGCAAAAGCTTACAACTATGCAATTTTTAGAAGAGAAAAATTGCAAACTCCTTACACTATCCCAAAAAGCCAAATTACACCCTTAATAACAGCCCACAATGACTATTCTTTTTGTGTCTATTTTACACTTTTTGAGATACTTTAAAAGCTCAATCTACTAGTCTATTTAAAGGGGAGACTCCCCTTGCAACTCCCTTTCTCAAGCAATATGGGATTCAAGGCATAATCCCAATAGAGCTTAGCTAGCTACGTCTTAAGCCAGCTCCAATATCTTTTCTTTATGGTTAGTTATATAGTGTTGTAAGGTTAAACATATAATAAGGCAAATCAAGCTGCTACTGCTGATTATAGAACATCAAAATCGAGCACAGCAATTTGCCTTGTCTTTGTTTTTTGATTTCAGCATTGTTTTTTTCTTTTTTCTTTTCTTTTTTTTTTCTTTTCTTAATTTCTCCTTTTAATAAAATAAACATATCGATTAATTTAAGTTTCTTTCATTTTGTCATTTGTGGAAACATATAATTAAAGAATTCATCAACAATTAATTAAAGCTAGCTTGAAGATTCATTTGCAAACCAACATTTCACAAAATTAGCAATGGATCTCTTCTTCCTTTCTAGCTCAGTCCTCTTTACTCTCTTCTTTGTTGTATCTCTTGCTTATCTCTTTCACAATAAATCCAAATCTTCTTACTCTAACCTTCCTCCAAGCAACATGGGCTTGCCATTCATAGGGGAAAGTCTTGAGTTTCTCAACACTAGCCGAAAGGGTCATCCTGAGTGTTGACCAAGGTTGACTTTTCATTTTAAGGACAAAAGTGTAAAAAGGAGGAAATGATGTCGTTTCTCTCTTTAGTTTCTATTTACTGTTCTTCTCTCTCTCGTTCACTCACTTCTTCATATAAAAGTGAGCTCAATCATTTTGCACTTTACCAATTAAGCAATGACAGAGTATTCTCTCTCAAATTTCTTGCGAAATTCCAATTTCCTTCTAAGTTTCACATGGTATCAAAGCCCAGGTTTAGTTGAGCTAAGTGCTTGACCAGCGGGTAAGGAGTTAGAGCCGACAACTACCTCCAATAACAGGTATGACCCAACATATAGGCTTGACCGTAAAGGGGAGTGTTAGAGTCTCACATCGACTAGGCACGCTCAAGCCTACTAGGTTATAAGAGGGGTAATCCTCCCATTCAACAAGGCCTTATTAGGTGAGGAGTCAGGCCCATCTCAAATTCTATCATGGTATCAGAGCCCAAGTTCAGTTGAGCTGAGTGCTTGACCAACGGGTAAGGAGTTAGAGCCAACAACTATCTCCAATAACAGGCATAACCCAACATATGGGCTTGACCATGAGTGGAAGTGTTGGAGTCCCACATTGACTAGGCACGCTCACGCCTATTGGTTTATAAAAGGGGGTAATCCTTCCATTCAACAAAGCCTTATTGGGTGAGGAGTCAGGCCCACCTTAAATTCTATCATGGTATTAGAGCCCTAGACTAACATCAATGGTCAAATCGTCTGAATCAAATCAATTTGTTGTCAATATGTAGCAGATGTCTCACAAGCTTTTCCTTCGAGCCTTCAAGTCATAAGCCCCAAATTGACTCACGACAATTACAGAGATAACTACTGCTTTTGGAAGTCTCAAGTACTTTCAGCTATTGGAGCTCACGAATTAGAAGATCATCTCATAGGTCTGCTTTATTGCCCTTTTCCTTTAATTAGTGTTGAAAGTAAGGTTGTTAGTGAATCAAGAGAAGTTAGTTCGAAAGATACCTTGGTTAAAGAAATAGTAAATCCAGATTATGTTGCATGGAAAAGAACTGATAAATTTTTAGTAACCTTGTTGTTAGCCTCAATATCTGAGTGTATGTTTTCATATGTATCAAAATGCCAGTCTTCAACTGCTATTTGGTTAAACCTAAGAATGAATTCTTAAATGATTCAAAAGCAAGAGCTCTGCATCTGAAAAAGTTACTACAAAATACACAAAAAGGAAACCTAAGTGTTAGTGAATACATTAAGAAAATGAAAGGGATAGCTAAAAATTTGTCAGCCAGTGGGCAACTAATTCCTGATGGAGATTTGCTCCAATATATTCTTGATAGTCTAATACCAAAGTTCGACACTATTGTAGTTAATTTGACATCCAGGATTGAGTCCAAGTTTGACTCAGTTACTCTTCAGGAAGTGCAGTACTTATTTCAAAAGTTTGAAATGAGAATTGAAAAGTTTAATTCTATTGATTTTCAAAGCTCTATTCATCTTGCTTCCATTAGTAATCTGGGACAACAACTAATCAATCCAAATGTTGCTTATAATCCAGCACTTTCTCCTAACCTAAGACTGCAATCTGCTGCACCACACTCCTATCTTACTAGTACTCATCCTCTTACCAATTCACTATCCCATCCTCTACAACCTCAGATTGCTCATCCAGAAACCAGTCCCCAGAATTCCTTTAATAATCCCACTGATCACTACACTTACTCAGCTCACATAGGACAATGTAGAGCACCTTTTCCACCAAATAATCCATCTAGTTTCAATCAGTTTGGAAGAGGCAGAGGAAGAGGTACTAATAGCAAGGGAAGACCAGTTTGTCAAGTGTGTAATAAGATTGGACATACTGCAGTCTAATGCTATCACAAGTACAACTTTACCTATAACGGTGTGCCGCCACCTACAAGAGGTCACATTAGACAACCAACTGGTCCTATCACTCATTTTCAGCAATCCAGTACACCATATGGCCATCAGCCGAATAATCATACTCAACCACATAATATATCTCTTAGTTCTCATGCTGCCAATAATATGCAACCTCAATTTGCCCACCATTCTTAGCAAACACAATACACTGCTCCTACTACTTATGTACCTAATCAGGAGCACATTCGACCACCAGAATTTAGTAACAACTTTCAGCCACAACAAACTTTTGCCACACATCAGGAGTAAACTCAATTTGTTCCTCATACTCTACTCCTATTACACAAGGCTTCAAAGTTCCCAGTCAACAACCTAGTGGTTCCAGTCAAGCATATATGGTTGCAAATCAGAACTTTTTGGTCTTGCCAACAAAGGAGACTCCTTGACTATCTCTCTAGCCATTTGCCAAGACCCTGCTTGGCACATGGACTCAGGCGCAACTGACCATGTCACAGCCGACCTAAACCACCTCAACATTAGCCACAACTATGATGGAGCTGAGCAACTTCAAGTAGGTAGTGGTGAGTTTCTTCATATCTCTCATGGAGGACTTACTCTCTTACTTAGTACTCTTAAATCTAAATGTCTTTACCTGAAAAATGTGTTATGTGTGCCTAGAATTACTAAAAACTTACTCAGTATATCTAAATTCACTAAGGATAACAATGTTGTGGTTGAGTTTTTTGCTGATAGTTGTGTGGTAAAGGATAAAATTACAAATACAATGCTAGGGAGAACTTAAAGTTGGGTTGTACCAGTTGAATCTATCCTCTGTCATGCCCTCCAAATCACCAAAAGTTTGCTCACCTTCTGTTTTTCCTCAGCTGCCAGTCTCTTCTGTTTCCAAGGCTTATGCTGGTACTACTAAGCCAAATTGTCCAGCACCCAGTTCACTGTTAACTTGTATCACTTTAGACAAGTCCAATAATGCTAAGTCTGGCTGTTTTGGTGATGATTGTAGTTCTTTTGCTGCAAATAAATCAGCATCTGATGTGCCTATTAAATCAGATGCATCAGCTTGTAATGTCAATACACCTTACTCAAGTACTTGTACTTCAAATTTTCTTAATAAAAACTAGGATTTTTCTGCTAGTGTAAACGATAGCTCTTCAATGTTACATCATAACAATGATGATTGCTCACAAACATCTGATAATATAATAATAATAAACATTATATCATTATAAATACAAATGTGTCCACCTGATTTTGTTGGAACACTTCAATAGAGCGAGAGTTGTATATATAATATATAGACATGCAAATTTATACAATTTTTATGAAAAAAAATATGATTTAAAAACCCGACTTGCTTTATTGGTTAATGAATGAACTATATGTGCTTGATTTTTAGCCCGACTGGCCGACATTTAACAGTGTCATCAAGGATTTTTACCCTTTTCTGTCTTCATATGAGTCTATTAATCAAATTAATTCACTCCATAAAATGGGATTTCCACGCACCTTCAAATTATTGGTATATATTTATATATATCAATTTGGGCCACCCTCTATAGCTTTGTTACATGCTGAGAAACAAAAACCAAAGAATGGAATAAACTTATGTACATGTTTCACGCGTCCTTTAATTGACTAGACTTCATTGTTCATACTCAGACACTTTATTTACCTACTTTTCAGGTCAAGTAAATCCTATTATATGTCTTTTAGCTAACCATTTCTCATTGCTTTTCCTCCTATATATAAATAATCTTTCCATAATCATTTCATCTCATCTCATCAACAATTAATTAAAGCTAGCTAGAAGATTCATTTGCTAACCAACATTTCACAAAATTAGCAATGGACCTCTTCTTCCTTTCTGGCTTTGTCCTCTTTACTCTCTTCCTCGTTGTATCTCTTGCTTATCTCTTTCGCAATAAATCCAAATCTTCTTACTCTAACCTTCCTCCGGGCAACATGGGCTTGCCATTCATAGGGGAAAGTCTTGAGTTTCTCAACACCGGCCGAAAGGGTCATCCTGAGAAGTTTATTTATGATAGAATAGCCAAATACTCCTCTCCAAT